ATAAAGGCTGGGTTAGGAAAGTGATTACGACTGGGGACCTGCTAATCACTGACCTCTGTAGGGATCCTGTAGTTTATCACTAATCTCACTTGCACTTGGCATTTTCCTGTGCTGCTGCTTCATTGTTCATAGCTGAGTGAGTAATTTGGCTTGGGATGAACGGGAGGAGGGTGCTGCAAGTCCAGCAGCTGCACTTGTTGGCACTGGCTTGTTAAACATCCTTAGTGCAGCCAGCAGCATGCTTGGCACGCATCAGCCAATAATACTTAAACATTGTCATGAAGAGAATAGAAGATCATTTGTTTTAAGCTATTTCTTCAAATCGTGTTGCTTCAGATTTCTGTTTCATTTCCAGGAGTTCTGTTCTCGAATATCATAAGGAAAAACTGTTGTTGTGTATTTATATGTATTCACAATATATACATGCATGCATTACAGATCTCTAAAATGSTACAGAGAAGATCCTAAAACTGTGACAACCCTCTTAATGAGTAGGCTATATGGCAGTAGAAAAGGAAGAGATTATTCCTCTGTTGCAGTGGGAAATGCATGGATATATAGTACAAATTTTTATGGCTGCATGAGTCGGTCAGTCTTGCCTCAGAGAAGGCAACACACCAAGTCCTAGGAGCAGGGCTGCATTTGTATTTTAATCAAACATAATTATTTTTTTCACTCTATTGAATAATTGCTGAATAAGAATTTTTAATGCAAATAAAATTCTGAGAGATAAAGAGTGGACTTGTAAGAATAAAGGATGGACCTGCAAAAACTTATTCTATAAAACTTGGTGTACTTTCTACTTAATGGTAATTTGGCAATATTGATTAATAGAAAAATGTCTACTTTGTTGAAGGTTTTTCTTGCATCTTTTGTATGTGCCTGCCAGTGTAGCTTGTGCAGCATATTCCTTSTTACATTAGATCTGCATATGAAAAAATTATTTGAATGTATTCATTCCGTGGGTAACAAAGACACACACTTTGCTAGATGTGGAAGGGGAGAAAGCAGTATAAAATTGATTTCTAGCTGAATTACCAACACCAGTTTAGTAACTTTRAAAGAAAAAATAAATTCTCAAAGTTGTCAACAATGTTTTGTTATAAACTGACTTCTGAGTAGGCTATCTGTAGGGACAGATTAAAAGTGTTATCCGTGATGAAATGATGTTTAAGAATTGTAAAAACTGCTCCAGTATTCACTTAAAGCGGATTCTCTGTGCAAGTAGGGCAGACATATTTCATGTCTGACAAACAGAGCAGCTGCCAGCTGTGGTCACTATAGCATTCATACTGGATGATAAACATTGCTTCATTAAAAGATGCTGTTGCTTTCCATATTGCCAAGCAAACAAATTCTTAGCAATGCACAGAAAKATTTCCAGTCTGTAAAGGGTTAATTCTGTGGGAATTGAAATAATTTTTTGAGAGTTCTGTCATCTTCTCATAAGCCAAGCATTATCTAGAAGCAGTGGGAAAAGGCTGTTTTATACTGGCAGGCATTTATAGCACATTCACTGAAGTAGTCCTCAACTGAGTTAATGTAATGCTGTTTTCAGCTCGCTATCACTTTGCATCTTGCTGTTTCAGTTCGTTCTGTGTTAAGTGTATTTAAGCTGCACAGCTGTTATACATATAGATGTATTGTGGAAGACAATTGCTCGTGTGGTATTCAATAACTATATTAAGTTGTGAGCATATCACATTTAGACAAGTGATTGCAAGGGAAAAAAGTTATTTACTAAATGCCTATTAATGTTTGAATCAATAGAGAATGTGTCAAGGTTTAAAATTTACACAGTTGGGAAATATTAGTGGTTCAAAATGCCTAGTGGGATTTTCTTGGTTGGGTTTCTTTTAACTCCATAGTCCCTGAACTTCAAGCCTCTTACGTGGTGACTAGGTCCTTGAAGCTTTTCCTGATAAAAACACATGAAACTTCAATAAAACCCCCAAAGCCCAAGAAAACACATTAATTCCRGGTTATTAAAAGATTCAAATGCTTTGTGACTTGACCTGTGCATATGTAAAATTTTCACATATAATCAGCTCAATTGTTTTTAAATGTCTATTGCTTTATTCCAAATGTGGTTGGAATGCACAACTCTGGTATGTAGAGCTACAGTGTGTAATCTGAAGAAAGGTTTACCATGATGCTACTTGGTAAGCACTGCATAGGTTTTGCTTCTAAAATGACAGCATCTAACTTTCTTGTTGCATAAATAAAATCAGATCAGAAGGGGAAATAAAACTTCATTTCAGCATCTGTTTTACCTTCCCAGCTGGCACATCAGCACACTACCTTACATCCATCTCTACACAAACCTGTACAAATGGAAGTGTTCAATTAGGTGTTTGTCATTTATAGTGGTAACCTTTTTGCAGAGTTCTCTCCTGATTAATATCAGGTGCCATARTGAGTTTCCTTATGTCCCCTAAATGCTGAGTGTTAGAGTTTCTGAATTTCCAGCTGTAATGCAAAAGTCTATTGCTGTCTGTGCAGTGGGCACTGACTGAGACAAGACCTGAGAGAGGGCCCAGGACCTGAGAGACTCCAYTGCAAATCTTGTGGGATAAACCTGCAAGTCATTTCCAGGTCTGCTTTGGCTCTCAGTCTCATGTTTTTAAAGTTTGTGTTCTTGTAAGCACTGGAMCTGCAGTAAGTGTGGGCTTTACTGTAGCTTCTACATTTTATGCTCTTCTGTCAATTTGTAGAGAGCATGAATAAATAAGAAAGTTTTTTCATAAGCTAAAACCCATCTTTTCAAATTTGACATTACCCACCTTTCAAGTACTTGTGAAGTATTGCTAAGTATTTTCTCTTCCTGTTGGTAAGTAAGCATTACCTGTGGCGTTCACCTCGAATGTCACCACAGTTCGAGAGAGCACCAGGACCAGGGCTTGAATGTGGGCTCCATGCATGTCACTGTAGTGTGTGCCTGGTAGTTTTTGGTGTTTAAAAAATGTACTTTTAACATTGTGACACCATGGCAAGTTGGAGAGTCCTAAGTGCTTGTACTYGGAATGTGTTTGGGAGACTCTATGAAAGGCACCCTCTCATAGTTGATCCTGGGTTCTTTTCCAAACCCTTCATTGAAAAGCAGACCATTTGAACACATGTTAAATGTTAGTTTGCTCCAGCTAATTTTTGATAAATATTTAGGGAGTGCAGCATCAGGAAGTCTTGACTTTCCCAATCACTTCCTGGAACCAAATTTACTATAGACTGGGCTGTTCTAGTAATCTTTTCTCCTTTAGTATGATCCTGCCATATTTTAAAAATTATAACATTTAAAAACCATGATTTTGTGCATTCTTATCTAACATTTTCTTGCCTTACAAACCGTAATTTAAATCATAATTTTTCTAGCCTCTATAATTGACTCATATACAAATATTTGTTTTAAAGCCTGCCTGGAATACTGCATGCTTCAGTCAAAGTTATTTATCATATGATATGAGATTCTCATTTTCTGGAAAGAAAATGCTGAGTCTGGTTTAATATGAACAGCATGATTCATCCTACTACTTATAATTTTGCATGCTAGGTATTTTATTTGCTTGGTGCTTGATAGTTGTTAGAGGCAAATTGCTTCAGCAGAAAAATGTTAACTTTTTTCCTCCCTTTGTTTCAGCAGAGCTGCCATTTTTCAAGSAAACTATTGTTGACCGTACTGTTGGTAGTTATCATGATGCTAATCTTACAGAGATGTTGTTCCCAAGAGATTCAGACTTCCTCTTCCTCCCTGCTTACTCAAGATGCATTTTTAAAATGACCAAAAAGCATACTTTAGATTTTCCTCTTACGAAATTCTATTTAGRGATTTTTGGTAGTAAGAGAGAAAAATCAGAAAAAACAAAGGAAGTCCTATACTTGAAGTCCAATTGCAATAGCATGGAGCTATTTATCACTGAAACGGGAATGTGTAACAAAGGCTACTTTTTATTCTTCTTAGGGCACACGGTTTTTGGAGACAGCACACATTTTCAAATGGGTAGATTTGGTTAACTAATGCTTACCTTTGCATAAGACTGAGTGGTGTTCAAGGTGTTTGGAGTCYTCACTGTGTTGTAATTAGGGCAGGCACATGCACTTGGTCTTCTCTGTTACACACATACTTGATGAGTGTCTGATACTTGGCATTGTTCAGTGGGATTCTATTCAAGGTTTTTTTTCAAAGTGTTGATTGATAAACTTCTGAGCTCTACTGGAGAAATTGCACAYTGAGCTTTAATATCCAGCGTGCCACTTTGGTGGCCTACCTAACAAATACAGCACTAAGTGGTTTTCCTGGAAGTGGCAAACTCATTGCTGATGTCTCGTGACCTCAGACAGCAGCCAAAGAGCAAACCAAATCAGCAGGCAGCCACTCTGCAGGGCCGTGCTCTGTGTGTGCTGCCTACAGGCAGAGATTGCATAGATGGCAGAACAGTCTAGATTGCTTGAGTTTTGTACCTGCTGATCTGTACATTAAACAAAAAGACTTTTAAGTATTTAGGGGTGAGTGGCAAGAGCTGAATGAATCAGCCATGGTTTAAGGTTGATGTGAGCTTTACTGTTCTGAATAAAGTTTTTGTTTGCTTTTCACGTGGTTTTATTTTGCTGCTCAGTATATTCATTGTCTAAGATGGATACCAGCCAAATGYTAGTTTCATGTAGGAAGGAGAAATGTCCAAAAGTGTYTCTACCTTTGCTTGTTGGTAATGGMAATGAAAATGGACCTTTGCCTTCTGTATTTACACATTCTGAATAGGAATATTTTATAGTATCTGACTGGTTACAAAAGGCATTTAGTTAGGTAAATATGCCATCTATTACTGTAGTGCTGTTTGAGTATGTTAAACACAGATGTATAAAAGTCTGATTTTATTCATGCAATATAATGTTTGTAAATTTACTATGATGCTAATTGATTTTCTGGATTGCTTGTATAAGGACAACTGATGTTGKTATTAGGGGATTGTAAAAATAACCAAATTTTAAATTAATTTATTTTGTAGGAAAAACCTCCGATAGAGGTCCATTTCCGCTGTATGGTAGAGATACGGGCTTACCAAGCTGTCAAGTAAGTACAGAGTTTCTTYATTTTAGAATGATGATTTCCTTCATGTTATTTCTAATGAGCCARACTAAGAATACTTTGATCATTGTTTAGAAGTCTGTTTTGAATGTACAGGAAGTTTGACTGTTTAAAAAGTATAATTAGCATGTGATTACATTCAGTGTCTGTTGATAAAATTTAAATRATATGTTTATAATTCTAAGAAATTAATTTATGTTTATTTTCTCAAGGAAGAATCGTTTTTCATTTTTACTGTAGGTTGAATATTTCCTTTGAAATGATATTTTTGGGAGTGTCTTTCTTCTGGAGGATAAAGTTTAGCATATGAGTTTGATGTCTTGGTCTTTAGTCTTTTAACTGGTAGGTTGGGAAGTGTGAATGGGCAGCACCATGTGGCAGTGCCTCCCCTGTTAGGAAAGGATCATTCTTCACAGCCTTTGCTACTTCTCTGCAACGCACATGTGGCAAACAAAGACCTGTTTGTAGCTGTATGGGTGAGCTTTCAGTAACGTTCTCCCAAAAAGCAGTGTRCCTCCTTACCTTAGAGTTATGGCCTTTACATTATTGCCAGTCTAGACACTAAAACATTGTATTAATGTTGYTACTAATGTTGAAATAACTCTCTGTGTACTCTATTTAAATATAATAACTTGACATTCGTTTTCAAGCAAATTAATTTCCACGTTATTCTTTCATGAAGTTGATGTTTTGTATTGGAAAATGGGTTTATGTGAACTTTGTGTAAAATTCCATTTGGCTTTGCAGTAATGTGTGTGATTTCTGTTGTTTGGTTTCTCAATGAAGAAAATCTTTTTCTCTCTATACATTTAGGATTATTTCTGTCTAGTACCATTTAATATTAATTTTTTATCTATAGCTATTTTAAGCCCAGAATGTTACACATATTTGCTTCTACTAACATCCCTTTTTGTTCTGTTTATGCCTTTGATAAGCTTCCTGCTATTTAATCTCCCTCAGTTTCTTTTTGCTTAAAATTTTTAATAGGTAAAGAAAATGTTACTGCTTTGGTTTTATATTCAGGATAATAAAAAATGGACATAGAGTTAACTTTCAACTACATTTTAATTCCATTTAATTCATGTGATAGTTACAATTTGTACTTTGTTTTGGTCTTTGCCAAGCAAATATGACAACATTTGAATTAATTTAACTTGGAATGTGGTGGGATTTCTAAAGCTTTTTGAGTTTTTTGAATGTTTTTTGTAAATGCATGGTAGTGCTTGAAATACAGTTCTTACTGCAGCTACAGTGTTTGAAATCTGTCATACAGAAGGTCAAAAGTGATCATTAGAGGTCATTACAATCCAAATGAAGAACTGGCTGTATTGTCCCTGACAGAGGCTTCATGTGGTCAGTTCTCAAAAAAGTCCAGAGATGGAAGAGCCTGCATGGGTCTTTGTTTTCAACTACTGGGTTTTGTTTTCAACTACTTAAGTGTAATTACTCTTAAAAAGTTTCCCTGATGCCTTATCTAAACATCACTGTCATTAAAGTAGTTAATTCTTGTCTGACAGTGGACATGGAGAAGAATCTGTTCTTTTTTCAAGAGGCTGGAAAAACCATTAGATGATTAAGATGTAAAGGAGTCCTTAGAAAAGATAAGCCATAACTGGAGTTAATTTTTACGTGGTTGTGTATAATGCAGGTATATTTTAACAGTGGATATGTACCAGGATCTGAGACTGAAATATTAGTAGAAAAGCTTATGCTCYGCTCTGAATGTTCTCCAGTAAGTTCACAACCCTAGGGAATTCCAATGTTTTAAATGAGGTTTAGTACCTTACCCAGGGCCTTACCATTGTGGCAAAAATAAATTCCCTGGATCTTTCTGACAATACTGTGATTTTTTTGCTATGTGGTATTTGCCTTTTTTCCTAAGAAATATCCAGTCTCTGATACATAATTGAATTGTGGTGATCTAAAATTTCCGAATATCATTTTATGGTAATGCTGGCTAGCTTGTTATTCCTCTGTGTTTTTCAGTTTACAGATTCCTTATACAAGAATGTATTTATTTTTTTGACAAGTTGCTTCTGCCATTTCTAAATTTGACAGTGCRGTTTTGAATTCCAGGCTTCCACTGCATTTGTAGACCCTTATGGGTTATTTTCTTTGTGAATTTAGTAAACGTAGCCTTCATTTTTCATCCAAGTCACTAATTAAGAGGTGGAATGATGCCCAAAACAGACGCCTGCAAAGTCTCAGTTAATGCATTCACCCACTGTTGATCATAAACTCTTAGCTGTTTTTCAGTCAGTTTTGCTCTGTGTTCAGCACTAGTTCTAGTTGTCCTTGGTTCACCTGTGAAATGTGGAAGTGGTAAAAGCCTTGTAAAAACCTCTCTTATGCAATCTGAGAAAGAAATTAATTTTATCTAGTATATTCCAGATTAATCAGTATCGCTTCTTCATTATCCTCTGACATTTGCAGTCTATTTCTTCCAGCATTYTTCAAAAGAAAAGAAGGAAATTTAGGTTGTTGAGGAATTACAAGCCACTGCTTTTATTCCACTCTGAAACCAACCAACCCCATTCTTTTCTAGTCTCTGCTCTGAACCATGAGTTCTTTAAGGACAGTGGCTAAGATTTCTGAGATAGTAAAATGGCAAGAGCCAGTCAGTCTCCTGAGTATTTTATTGGGTACAGATGAATTGAAAATACCTAACCTCTCCAAAAACTCTCAAATCCATCCTTCTCCTACCTCCTTTCCTTATGTTACTGGTGTGAAGGGTATTAATAAACTGGTATGGTTATGTGAGGAGTTTTAATTTTTCCTTTCTGTTGAGTTTACAGAAGGCTGRAATGAAAATTTTCAAGACCACTGTAAACTGCAATGTTTCAGACTCTTATTATCATTCTCACTTTTACTGAAAATAATCTAAGCAGTGATTTGTAGGGTCTGTTTGCTACCTACAGGCTTTATATTTAGACTGTAGGAGTTGAGGTGTGATTGATTTTCAATGTAGCTTTAGAACCTGAGCRTCTTAGGTAATGGAATCTGATTCAGCTGTAACAGTTAGTCACAAGAACATAAATACAGCTAATTTACGAATATTTTACCGACAAGAAGTGCAGGTTTTCAGTTTTTCTTTCCATTCAAGTGTTTTAAGCAAGCCAAAAAGGAGTATCCAAAAGCATATTGATTCTCAGTGGATGGGTAAAATGACACATTGAGGCTTATGCTGAGCTGATACAGATGAATGTCAAAATTTTTTACCTGGAGGAAGAATTGACAGCTTTTAAAAGAAATACTAAAAACTATATTGCTCTCAGAATGAAATTCAATGCTACAYGACTTGACACAAAGTTTCTTTTCATATCTTTGAATTGGAGGAAGGGTGGTGGTTTGTGATTTTTGTGTGGGACTCCGCCATTTCTGTTGGCCATGTAATTGCAGTTTTAGGAAGGGCATCTTTTCAGAAATTATAATCAGGCAAAGGTTAAATCTTCAGAAAGCTTCTTGCAATAAAAAGGTTTTTCTTCCCATTTGTGTGATGTAGTACTTAAAACAGTAGCATATGCAAAAGAAACGAGATTAGACTTCAGATATTGAATTCACAACTCCCATTTCGATATAATGAAAAAGGTCCCCAGCTGTCACTGCACATTGGTTTGACAGGTCTGAGCTCAAAGAAAGCCAGGGCTCTGCTCTATTTTTAAAGTGAAATTGAGATAAATGTGCAGAACATGTGTAGCTGTTAGACTAATTCTTCTAATTGTTTGTGTGGGTCTTCCCAGAAGGTAACTTTATCCCCAGGAGCCCGTGAGTGCCCTGGATAATTGGTGGGGGATGCTCCTTTAGCCTAACAGSGCCTGTTCCCGTGTGCCTGGCACCATCTCTCCCCACTGGCATCACTAGGCTCAAGATAGTAAATTGTTGGTGACTATCCCCTTAATGTTCTATTTTCACTCTGAACGATTATGCATGAAAAATAGTCATGATGGATTTTTTGACTTGTGGAGATAATACATTTATCCTCCCTCCATAATAATTTGAGGCCTGCACGCTACCCTGTGTATGGGAAAGGAGGCAGAATCGAGTGCTGAGTGTAATAGATGCTGGGCAGGAACTAAAGAGGCATTTGCCACTTCTGGTTTGAAATGTAGCCTTTCTATAGAGCTGTATCTGAATTTATTTTTCTTACTCATTATTCTCTGTGTTCTGCATGATGATGGGACACTTCAGAAGTTATAAAACGCAACTAGAACAAACGGCTGCTGATAAAAGTGTAGAATACATGAATGCTGGGAGGAGCTACAGATTGAATTTACTAAACACATTTCACTTAGACTATGTACAATCATACATATATACAATACTGTATAAAATATGCACTTTCTGTAGTACATGATATATGTACATATTGCATGGAATATGTGGTACTACACAGCGTGTGGACAATCTCTATGATACTGTGTACACTACGTGTATTTTATTTAGTGACAAGTGGATTTTTTTACTCATTTCTGCTGCTATTATTTTGTATTTATTGATAATAATAAGGCAGCTTTTTTTTGGGTAAAAAAAAAATCCAATAGAAAGCTAGTCCATCAATATTTCCAGTGATATCGCTACCCTGTTTCCCTTCAATAGCCATCAGCTCTGCTGTTGCCATGAAGCTAATGTGAAGTGACTCATTTAACATCAATTGTTGCATCATTGCAGCATGATGTAAGGCACATCAAGCTTTATTAAATTAGCCTGAATTTTACAGTATGATAGTAACATTGTATGCACATTAGCACCACCCTTAGTGCTCCTTCTGGGAATATACTTCAAGTAAACATATTAAGATATAATTTCAGACAACTTTTCAGAATTTACCAATTTCTCCTTTCTTTGCAATTTAACATGGAACATTAAAGGTTTGCATCTTGTTGTCTGCAAATTTAGCTATTTATCAAAGAATAAAATGGCAGCATGTTAGACTGTATTTGTTAGCTGTTACATCCTTAACAGGCTAAAAAGTTGTTTTTATTTTC